TGCTCAGCAGATGTTTTTCTCATGAAAATCAGATTTTGGCATACCAATTCTTCTGTGTTAAGATATTTATTTACCCACATCAAAAATACTTTTTCTTTATCGCTTATTGACCTCTGGTAGACAAAGTTTGATGAAATGAATCAGTAAGCACCTACTATGTGCTAGCTAAGCACTGTACAAGGCACCAGGGATACCAAGATACAGTGAAACAGCCCCTCCCTCAAGAAATGAACATTCTGTCAGGGGAGACAGTATGTACATCACAAATATGTACAAACTAAATATCAGCTAATTTGAGGAGGGAAGCTATGAACAGCCATATCAAGAAAGGCTTCATGCAGAAAGTGGCACTTGGGCTGAATTTTAAAAGAAACTAGGGATTCTAAGAGGTGGAAATGAAGAGAATACATGCTAGACCTGGGCAGAAGCATGGAGATGGGAGAGTGAGTGTGAGAAATAACAGGAAAGCCTGTCTGGCCTTTTGCCTGGACAGTTGAAAAATCTTCCTAATTGGTCTAGGTGGCACAGTAGATAGAGTGATGGGCCTAGAGTTAGGAAAATCTAAGTTCAAATCTGGCCTCAGACAATTACTAGCTGAATGACCCTGAAGAAGTGACTTAATTTGTCTGCCTCAGTTTCTTCAACTGTAAAACAGGGATTATAATCTATCTCCCAGGATTGTTGTGAGGATCAAATGAGATATTATTTGTGAAGCACTTAGCACAGTACCTGACATACAGTTTGTCGTCGTTCAGTCATTTCAGTTGTGTCCAACTCTTCATGACCCCGTTTGGGGTTTTCTTGGCAAAGATACTGGAGTGGTTTGCCATTTCCTTCTCCAGCTCATTTGACAGATAAGGAAACTGAGACAAACAGAGTTAAGTGACTTGCCCAGGGTTACACAGCTAGTAAGTTATCTGAAGCAAGATTTGAACTCAGGAAGAGGCGTCTTTCCTGACTCCAGGCCTGGCATTCTATCCACTGTGCCACTTAGCTGACCATATAAGTAGGCACTTAATAAATGCTTGGTTCCTCTCAAAAGAGAGGAAAAATCCTGGCCTCAAGTTTTTCCGCTCTTCAATCTATCTTTCGCATAGTTGCACAAGCATAGATCTCACTGTGTTAGTCCTTTATTCAGTATATTCAACACTCCAATGGTTCTCTTTTACCTCTATGATAAACACAAACCCTTCTTGCTTAGAATTTAAAGCCTTTCACAATGTGGCTCCAACCTACCTTTCCTACCTTGCATTCACTGGAGTAAAGTCTGCAGTGTCATTTCTGATGGCCTTATAGACATTCATAAACTGCTTATTTTATTCCATGGTATCCTTGAGGGCAGAAACTTTTTTCATTTTTGTCTTTTTATCCCCAATATCTAGTACAGTGTCTGGTACCTAGAAAGAAGCAGTGCAACATAATGGATAATACACTGGACTTGGAGTCAGGCAGACCTGAATTTGAATCCTGCCACAGACATTTACTAGCTGTGTAACCCAAGGCAAGACACTTAACCTCTCTCAGATTTCCAAATCTATGAAACAAGTTCAATTATAGCACCTATATCCCTAGGTCACTGTAAGGATCAAATAAGAATAATGTATGCAAACCTTCAAGTGACATATAAATAGCAATTATTATTAATAGATGCTTATTGAATTTAATTTGAGAGCCAGAGCTATATTTCCATCTTCTATATATCAATGAGAATGTTCTTCAGAGCAGAAAGAGGAAGGAAAACAGTGATTACTAAGAACAAATATAGGTTCGTGAAGCAAGTCATTTCCATTTTTGACAAAGATACTAGATTGATAGATTAGGGAAATTCTGTAGGCATAGATTATCATATACCTGCTATGTACTTTTGTCACAGACCTTTCTAGATTTTAGTAAGGAACATAACATAGTCCCTTATGATTTCCTGGTTTTAAAAATTGTAAATCTGAGCAAGATTACAATAGGATAATGTGGATTTATAGCTAATCAAATGACCAATGTTAATTGATTGATGTTAACCTGGAAGGAGATCTTTAGAGGATTGCTACAGTGATCAAACCTCAGACCTCATTCTCTTCAATATGTGTTATCAATGAGAATGTGTTTATTATATTACAAAGCCTTAATCATCAAAATGATTTTGTATTGGTTAAAAAAAGAAGTAGAACAAAGTAGGTACATAACATACCAAAAAAAAACCATACAGGGTAGCATAGTGTTCAATAAGTCCAAGGCCCCCAGTTAACAGAGGGAAAGTATCGCTATTTGACAAAAACTGCTGGGAAAGAAGTCTGGCAGAAATTAGATTTTGTCCAACGTCTTATACTATACACCAAGATAACCTCCAAATAAATATATGACCTAGATAGAAAAGGTCATATAAACAAATTAGAGAAGTAAAGGAGAATTACCTTTCAGATTTATGGGTAGGGGAAGAGTTTATGACTAAAAAAAGTAAAAGAGGATCATACAAGGTAAATGGATAATTTTTATTATATAAAATTTAAAAACTTTTGCCCAAGCAAATCGAATGTAGTAAATATAGAAGGGAAACGGGTACCTAAACGGGGAGATCATTACAGCAAGTTTATCTGATAGAAGTGTCATCCATCTGTATAAGGAATAGATTTAAATTTATAAGACTAAGAGCCAGTCAGACTAGATAAGTAAGCAGTTTTCAAAAGAAGAAATCCAAACTACCAACAATATGAAAAAAGTGCTCAAGATCACTAATAATTAGAGAAATGAAAATTAAAGCAACCATGTAGTTTTGTCTCAAACCTATCAGTATCAACAATGACAAAAAAAGAAAATTATGAATGCTAGAGGGGCTATAGGAAAACAGGTACATTTGTGCACTGTTATTGAAGCTCTGAATTAGTCTAGTCATTATGGAAAGCAATTTAGACAAATGCCTAGAAACTTACCAAACTGTGTATATATACCCTTTGGTCCAGCTATACCACTACTAGGCCTATATCCCAAAGAATTTTTTTTTAATGCTGAAAAGGCTTTATATATACAAAAACATTTGTAACAGTTTTTTTTTTCATTCTAGCCCCAAACTAGAAATCAAGGGGGTAGCATCCTTTCAGGGAATAAATAAACAAATTGTGGTCTATAAATTGATGGAAATGTGACATAAGAAATGATGAAATTGACAATTACAGAGCAAACTGGGAAGACCTTTATGAACTGAGAGCAGGACTAGGAGAACAGTTTATACAATGATAATATTATATGAAAAACAACTTTGAAAGACTTTGGAACTGGGATCAAAACAGTGACAAACTGAATCCCAAAGAATGAAGATGAAATACCTCACCTGACAGAAAGAGATGATGAACTTAAAATGCAGAAAGAGACATTTTTAGACATGGCTAATGTTGGAATTCATTTTGCTAGACTAGGCAGCTATCTGTTGAGGCAATTGGGTTGTGTTTGCGTGTGTTTGTGTTTGCTGGTGGGGAGGAGCAGTAGGGACAAAATAATTTTTTTTTTAAAAAACCACTTTTTAACCTGAAAAGTAAAAATAATTTTAAAAAACTTTAAGTATGCTTGAAAATGTTTCAGTTAATGTAAAACTGGGAGGCATGAACAGGAATGATGAGGTAAATCTGTCAGGATCCCAAGAATCTTGACCCAAGCACCCTTTAGATAGTAGGAGCAGGCCCAGAAAGTGGCTAAAGGAGATAGCTATCACTGATCTCATGACCCAGTCTTTATGATCTACCTTGTGATGTGCACACAAAAGTCTTAAGTGAGCTCTACTCACCTGGCTTCTCTTTGTGCCCTTTCAAGACAATAGGAACCTAGAACTCGTTCATCTCAGATATCAGGTCTGACCAGGGCTTATCATCATCCTTCTAAACCCTAACCTCTACCATAACCACTACTCATTGTCTCCACCCAGCAGAAGTTTACTACTTGTCAGACTTTTTGTAATACTATTCAGATACAGTTAATCCTTTTCAAGCTCTGAGATTTTGTGATTCTGTGATTGCCAATATCCCATGACCTCTTTGACAGGGATATATAAGAAAACAGGAAAAGAGCTTTGAAGATGACAAGAATTATACTGTCACTGACCTGGTGATATAGAAAGTTATCATTACCCAACCCTTTGATATGTGACTTCAGGCAACTTGTCAAATAGCCTGATACCAAAGACCTTCCCAGTGATACATGTGACATGAAGGAGAAACAATGAAAGCTACCCAAGCAACCAGACACACTGACTCTCTCTCTCTCACTCTCACATACACACACACACAAATTTTTTTAAGATCAGCATCTGCTGGTGCTATTTGGTTATAAATGATGGAATACAACCATTTGAATAGTCAAAATTATGGGTGACTCAAAGGGTAATGGAAAGATTCAGGGAAAGCTTAAGTAACCTGCCTCATATTACCAAAGATGACTCATGGAAATGTATGCAAAAACAAATCATTAGCAAATGTAATATTAAAAAAGGAAAAAGAAAACATGAATCAACAGAATTACCAATGATAAATAAGAGAAATGAATATAATTAGGGAATACTATGTGACCACTCTTCTGTCTCCTTTGCTGGATACTCCAGGGTTCTGTCCTGGGCCCTCTTCTCTTCTCCCTCTTTACTACTTCACTTGGTGATCTTATCATCTCCCATGGATTTAATTACCATCTCTATGCTGATGATTCTCAAATTTACCTTTCTTGCCCCAGTTTCTCTACTGACCTTCAAATCTCACATCTTCAACTTCCTTTCAGATATCTCAAATTAGTGTCCAGTAGACATTTTAAATTTAATATGTCTGAAACAGAACTTACTATCTTTCCCCCAAAACCCTGCCCCACACCACACACACACACACACACACACACACACACACACACACACACCCCTTCCCTATTACTGCAGAGGAGTTGTAGGGGGTGTTCTGGAGGACTAGCACCTCTGGTGTGAGGACTTGCTGAGCCCTTTTCAGGGCTGTTCATCCACTTTTGGGGTCCACCAGATTCACCCATCTCTCCCCTGTGGCTCCAAGAAGCTGTGGCTGCAGCTGGTAGCTGGTAAACCTGGTAAGCCATCTGGGCAGAAGGGCTAAACTAGATTGCGGGTAACTGACAGGCCTCAAACCCATGGGTGAGTTAGGGGGATGTCTACCTCAAGCATGTGAAGACTTCCCCGGGTAGAATAAGCAGATGAGAATAACTTGTTCCAACGACCATGAAGGCAGCTTAGAGCTTAGAGCTTGGGTCAGAGATCAAAGATGCCAAGGTCATTCACTGCATCCTGGGCCATCACCAGTTGTCTTGACTTTTTTTTCTGCTACTGGACTTTGATGACTTTGAAAGAGAGAGTGAGGCTGATGACTTTGTGCTCCTCTGCCTCACTTAAATCCAATTCACAAACAAGTCAAGGCATCACCTATGATATTATTGGTCCTCTCTGAAAATGAGGGTCAGTATGCTGAGTGAAGTGAGCAGAACCAGGAGAACGCTGTACACGGTAACAGCCACATTGTGCGATGACTAATATTGATAGACTTAACACTTCTCAGTAATACAAGGATCTAAGATACCTCCAAAGGCCTCATGA